CTCACAATCTTGCTATGTTTTAGCCCATTGTTACAGCCACTGTGGCAATCCATCTCATTGTCCTATTTTTCCCATACCCTCTACTTAACCAAGCAAGTTGTCCTTCTCTAGGGACTAGTTTCTCCTGTTAACATATCCAAAGTATGTGAAACAACATCTCACCATCCTCCTTTCTAAGAAACGTTCTGGCTATACTTTTTCCAAGATAAATTTGTTCATTTTTCTGGCAGTCCACGGTATATTCAATATTCTTTGCAAACACCATAATTCAAAGGCATCAATTCTTCTCTGGTCTTCCTTATTCATTATCCAACTTTTGCATGCATATGATGAGATTAAAAATAGCATGGCTTGGGTCAGGTGCACCTTAGTCCTTAAGGTGACATGTTTGCTTTTTAACACTTTAAACAGGTCTTTTGCAGCAGATTTGTCCAGTGCAGTACGTCGTTTGATATCTTCACCTTTGCTTCCATGGGTATTGATTGTGGATCCAAGTAAAATGAAATAATTGAGAATTTAAATCTTTTCTCCTTTTCTATGATGTTGCTTATTGGTCCAGTTGTGAGGATTTTTTTTTTACTTTATGCTGAGGTGTAGTCCACTGAAGACTGTGGTCTTTGATCTTCATCAGTAAGTGCTTCAAGTCCTCTTCACTTTTAGCAAGCAGGGTTGTGTCATCTGCATATCACAGATTGTTAATGCGACTTTCTCCAATCCTGATGCCCCATCCTTCTTCATGTATTCCAGCTTCTTGGATTATTTGCTCAGCATACGGATTGAATAAGTATGGTGAAAGGAAACAATCCTGACATACACCTTTCCTGACTTTAAACCACGCACTATTCTCTTGTTCTGTTCAAACAACTGTCTCTTGATCTATGCACAGTTCCTCACGAGCACAATTAAGTATTCTGTAATTCTCATTCTTCACAATGTTATCAATAATTTGTTATGATCCACACAATTGAATGCCTTTGTATAGTCAACAAAACACAGGTAAATATCTTTCTGGTAGTCTCTGCTTTCAACCATAGTCCATCTGACATCAGTAATGATATCCCTTGTTCCATGTCTTCTTCTGAATCCGGCTTGAATTTCTGGCAGTTTCCTGTTGATGTATTACTGCATTCCTTTTTGAATTATCTTCAACAGACTTTTACTGTGTGTGTTATTAATGATATTGTTTGATAATTTCCACATTCTGTTGGATCATTGTAGTAGGGATGTATTAATCGTTGGTAGCCTAAAGGCTGAGGTTTAATGGGCATGTGTGTGAGAAGTAGGAGAAAAAGGCAGTGTGTGAGACGTGATTAGAGAAAATATCCCACTGCACTGAAAACAAGGACTCCCAAAGGATGACACTTTCAGAGGTGAAGTAGAAAAACACTTTCCCCACAGAGTGAGACAGTGCTATACACACATCTCTCAGCCTTAGATTGGGAAGAGCAGAGAAAAGAGAAAAAGTTCCATTGATAATTTTTAGTTCCAAATTTGTATTCATGGAGACATGAAGCCTGCATCTTATCAGTGTTGTGGTCCCAAAACATCCCAATTCAAAAATTATGTTTAAAGGTATTCTGGGCCAGCATTGCTATTAAGGTACCATACCGAAGTAATATAAATCATTTCTGAAGGAATATATTTCAAAGTCATTCTTCAATGATTCCTGCAGATAAAGTTCAAAAGAACATGAGCTGGTAATGAAAAATCATTAAACAGACAAGTAAACAAGGCACTATGAACAAGAGTCATTAATAACATCAAATTATAGAATCAGACCCACAAAACAACAGATATTTAGATTATTCAATAATAATTTTAAATACATATGTTTAATATGTTTAAATGAAAGAATCTTTGAGAGTAGAATAAAACAAGTTACTTTTTTTGAAATTGTACATTAGGTGAAGGTTTACAGAACACTGAACAGTTAGTACACGTATTGTTTTATGACATTTGTTAACAACCCCACAACATATCAACACTCTCTTTTCTTGACCTTTGGTTCCCTATTACCAGGTTTCCTGTAACCTCCTGCCTTCTAGTCCTTGTCCCTGAGCTGTTGTGCCCCATTAGTCTTGTTTTGAGAAACAAGATACTTTTAATATCTGCCAGGCATATATAGGAAAATAAAAAAATGGAATCTTTAGAAGAGAAAACAAATTATTGTTATTGAAATCTAAACTCAGTGGATGGGTTAAATAGCCGATTAACTCAGCTTAAGATAGAATGAATGAACTGGAAGATATATCTATATAAATTAAACAGAACACAGTATAGAAGTACAAAGAAATGGATCTTGCAGAGAGGTGGAGAATATAATGAGAAGATCCAACATACATCCAACTGGAATTCCAGAGAGATATAGAAGAGAAAAAAACGAGGGAGAAGCAATATTCAGAATACTGTTTAGTAGACAGCACACTGGCCTGATGCCATATTGAGTGAATGAACATTAGAGGAAGCTGTGCAAGTCTTCATAATCACAAGGAGAACATCAGTATGTATCATGGATGCTCGATAAACCTTTTTGTTGTGTTGGATTGTTAGTGATATGATGATGTTAATAATAATAATTAATATGATCTTCTGTTCACTTTCCGCAAGATTTTATCTCCAATCAGTCTCTCTGTGGAGGGACAAGTCCTAAATTTGGATGGTAAATACATTGTCTATCTTCTACCACTCTCCCCTTACATACTAATATCAGACATCTTCACTTCCTTTTCTAATTAATTCCTTCATTCCCTCAGAATCTTTATGAAAACAGGGTACTGGAAAGCCACAACTGATCTGATTTAGGGAAACGAGCCCTTTGACCTTACTTCCCTGGCCATGACCTTATGCTCCCATAGAGATTTCGTCTTTTTTTTTTTTTTCATTTTTGGAACCTGATGACTGGGAAATGATTAGGGAGAAGGAAAATGTTTTGAGCAGCTAATGTAGGCCATGTTTTTACTTCATAGAAATGTTTTATTCCACTAATACCCCAGTGTTTCTCTCTGAAAATCTCCAAGATGTCTACTTTCTACTCTTATACACAATGCTCAGGCAACATTTGACAGCTGTATCCTATATTTAATATATTTCATAATTTTCCTTCTAATTTGGGTTCATCTGAATAAAAATGTGGGTTTTTTTTGCTTCAGTGGGGGGAGATGTTTTAGTAATACCCTAGAGAAAATGACAGCTGTAACATCTTTAAGGAAACTTACAGTTCCTAATGCAAAAATATTCTTTTGTTTAGTTACCATTTGTGTGAAGACTTACTTCTTTGTTTCTCTGGACTGACTCCAATGTGAAGGAGAGAAAAAAAAAAATCCTTCCTAAATCTTCTCCAAATTTCCCAATCCTCATGCCTATTGTCTAAGCATGAATCTTACAAAAGTCCAAGTCAGTTTCCATTGTAGGAGAGGACTCTGACCTGGAAACAACAAACAGACTTCAGGGTGACTGAAAATCCTAAAACACTGTATGTAAAGGTAGTAAGTGGTTGTATTTTGCTGGATAGAGGAACCCGAGTTACCACAGATTTTCAAAAGGACACTACAAAGTTCAGTAATTACTGTCCTAGGCAATCGAACTCTTAAGTATTTCTGATTTGAGGAAAGGAAAATCTACACCAGCAAGAAAGGGAATTTCACATCTCTCTGAACCTTGTATTACTTCATTTCTGAGGCAGTTTTCTAGAGTCACTACTTTGGTTATGTCACATCCATTTTCCAGCTCCTACTTTTTCTGATTGACTCTTCCCTCCATCTTGCTACATGATTCTTATATCTCTCCAGGTATCATAAAAGAAGAAAGGCTATTACAGAATTGTCAAGGGTCCCTCATTATCGAGTAATTAAAGGCCACTTCTCAAGGAGTTTTTAAAGAGTACCTACCCAGGCTCCTTATAGTGAATATTCGGGAGCTTCTCCAGTCATCCTGTTAATACAGAGCAATGTAAAAGTAGAATTTTTCTGTTTCGCCATATAAAGAAATAGCACTGTTTTCCTAATTTTGCCTCTCTCCAAAGTCTCACATATTTGCAAAATCTGGCATGGGAAAATAAGAAATGAAGACATTTTAGAAGAAAATGGACTAATTATGCCCATTGAATGCCTTTTGCCCCCAAAGAAAGAATGATAATATATAGCCAAGAGATTTTTTAGTTAAGGATGATTGTACATGAAAAGTGATTGTATTAACTCAGTGTTGATAATTTAATGTTGTAAAATTAGCCTGATGCATGACTAAAAAAAACAATGGGTACTTTTTTGGGAATAAAGCTATTTTCTTCTCTTATCTTTTCCTCAGCAGATGACATCAAGCAGGTCCATAGAATGGAATGGAAACCAGTCTTCTGTGGCCATGTTTGTTCTCCTGGGACTCTCAGATGATAAAGAACTGCAGCTCATCCTCTTTCCAATATTCCTAGGGATTTACCTTGTGACCCTTATCTGGAACCTGGGTCTCATCCTCCTAATTAGAAAGGACTCCCACCTGCACACACCCATGTACTTTTTTCTCAGTTTCCTGTCATTCATAGACATCTGCTATTCTTCTTCCATCAGCCCAAGGATGCTTTCAGACTTCCTAAAAAACAAAAAAATAATTTCCTTCATTGCCTGTGCCACTCAGTATTTTGTTGCAGCCTGGATGTCTCTGACTGAGTGCTGCCTCTTGTCCGCCATGGCCTATGACCGATATGTGGCCATTTGCAGCCCGCTACAATACTCAGCCATCATGGTACCTGGCCTCTGTGGGAAGATGGTCACTGGGGCCTATGTGAGTGGTTTCCTTAGTAGTTTATCTCAAACAGTCTCTTGTTTTCATCTTTACTATTGTGGGCCAAATATCATTCAACATTTCTTCTGTAACTTGCCTCAGATTATTTCCTCGTCTTGCTCCAATCCCTTCATCAGCCAAATGACTCTTCTTCTGGTAGCTATTGTTATTGGATTTGGTTCATTGCTTGTTATCTTCTTGTCCTATGGTTTCATTGCAGCTTCCATCCTGAAAATATCCTCAGGCAAAGGTAGTACAAAGGCCTTCAACACCTGTGCCTCCCACCTGGCAGCTGTGACACTCTACTATGGCACAGCCCTCTCTGTGTACTTGTGTCCCAAGTCTAATCACTCCATGAAGCAGGACAAGGTGCTATCAGTGTTCTATGTCATCATTACCCCCATGATGAACCCTCTGATCTATAGTCTGAGAAGCAAGGAGATCAAGGGGGCCCTCAAGAGGCTTATGAAGAGAGCAATAGTCTTATGTCAGTCAGAATAGTATTTGGGCGGATATTATTATGCCTATAAGGTAGATGGAGGTAAAAATGTGTAAGTGACATTTGCATGTCACGTGAATAACTAGACAGCAAAAGAAGTAAAAATTTGGCTTCCTTATTTCTTGGTGCCATCATGCTTAGCTCCCATGAAGAAGTAATATGACAGAGTGATGTTATATGCAGTTTACAAAGCCAATTTCTACTATTAGAACTCAGGTAGATAAAAGCCTAAAGGGGATTGTGCTTTGAGAAGAGAAGTGCTGGTAGATATTACATGTACAGAAATGACAAGAATCCTGGACACCAAGCAGCATGTTCTTTTCTTCACAGATTTTCTACATTATTTTCATTTTATTATCAATTGTTCAACATTTATTTATGTTCCAATAAAAATAAAATTAAATAATGTGTAAAATTAAATATATGAAAAATTAAAAATAATTTTTAAAAGAACACTTTATAACTTTGGTCCCAAACCGAGACAAAAGGAAAGAGAAAGAGAGAGATTGTGATTTGGCTGGGTTTACTTCCAGTGAACCTTGTTTCCTCCATTTTCGCTCTCAATCCAATGGAAGGAAGTGAACTGTGAAAAAGATACAGGAGATAGAGGGAAGAGTAGGAGGGAGGGGGCATCTTCAAGGTCAAGAGTTAGCAAGATTCCTGGATGCTAGACAGAAGATAAACGTCAGCAATTTCTGGGCATAGATGAGTCTGGATCATGCTCCAAGGTAGCACCCTGAAGACTGTGCAATGTCAGCACAAATGATGGCTCTCATAGTGTGTCCAAGAAGGTAGGCCTTGAATCTCTGAAATTTGAGCCTCCCACTGATTCCAGGGCCTTATATTTAACAGGGAAGTAGCAGAGCCACCATACTTGGGAGTACCTCAGAGACTCAGAGTCCAATGGAAAGAATTTAAAGAAATTTTAAATAGACATACGTCTTTCAGACTGGACTTCATAGACCAAGTTTCATACATATTATGTTAGCATTGCTACAACTCATTAAACTACATATAATTCTATTGCAAAGGTATGATTTTTTCAATTGCTAGTGAGGTTGACAGGTAGGAAATTAAAACCCTCATTTTACAGAGGGAATATTTGGGCATATTAAGGCTTTCCATACTCCTCCTAGTGTAGGCAATGATCTACACCTCAAATCTCACAAAGTGTGGTTTGTATAACAAATGGTTCACTTGACCAAAATAATTTCATCCATTGATCTGCCACTGTGTGTAATTCCATATTCTTGGTGTTATTTCTTCAAAACTGTCTTATGAAGTTGTTCATTTAAAGGATTAAATCAGGGAAGTAATATAAGTACCAACTTATTGTTGTTTTTGTTAGGTGCCATTGTATTGCTTCTGACTCATAGCAACCCCATGTACAACAGAATGAAACATTGCCTGGTCCTATGCTATCCTCACAAATATTGCTGTGTTTGAGCCCTTGTTTCAGCCACTGTGCCATTCTAACTCGTTGAGGGTCTTCCTCTTTTTTGCTGACCCTCTACTTTATCAAGCATGATGTCCTTCTCTAGGAACTGGTCTTCCTCACAACATGTCCAAAGTCTCACCATCCTTGCTTCTAAGCAGTATTCTTGCTGTATTTCTTAGATTTGTTCATTCTTCTGGCAGTCTATAATATAGTCAATATTCTTTGCCAACAGCATAATTTAAATGCAACAATTCTTCCTGGGTCTTCTTTATTCACTGTGCAGCTTTCACATGCATAGAGGTGATTGAAAATACCATGGCTTGGGTCAGGTGCACCTTAGTCGTTAAAGTGACATCTTTGCTTTTTAACACTTTAAAGAGGTCTTTTACAGCAGATTTTCCCTGTGCAATAAGTCATTTGATTTCTTGACTGCTACTTCCATGGGCATTGATAGTGGATCTAAGTAAAATGAAATCCTTGACAACTTCAATATTTTCTCCATTTATCATGATATTGTTTATTGATCCAGTTGTGAGGATTCTTTTTCTTTATGTTCAGTTTCAATCCTTACTGAAGGCTGTGGTTTTTGATCTTCGTCAGTAAGTGCTTCAAGTCCTCTTCGCTTTTAGCAAGCAAGATTGTATCATCTCCATATCATAGGTTGTTAATGAGTCTTCCTCCAATTCTTATGTCTTGTTCTTCTTCATACAGTCCAGATTCTTGGATAATTTGCCCCTCATACAGATTGAATAAGTATGGTGAAAGGATACAACCCTGACACATACCTTTCCTGACTTTAAAACACTAGGGATCCCCTTGTTCTGTTCAAACGACTAAATCCTGGTCTATGTATAGGTGCCGGATAAGCACAATTAAGTGTTCTGGAATTGCAATTCTTTGCAATATTATCCATAATTTGTTATGATCCACACAGTTGAATGCCTTAGCATAGTCAATAAAACACAGGTAGACTTCTTTCTGGTAGTCTCTGCTTTTAGCCATGATCCATCTGACATCAGCAATGATATCCCTCATCCCACATCCTCTTCTGAATCCTCCCTGAATTTCTCACAGTTCCCTATCAATGTACTGCTGCAAACACTTTTGAATGATTTTCAGAATGACTTTACTTGTATGTGATATTAATGATATTATTCCATAATTTCTGCATCCTGTTGGATTACTTTTCTTTGGGATAGGTGCAAATATGGATCCCTTCCAGTCAGTTGGCCAGACAGCTGTCCTCCATATTTCTTGGCATAGGCAAATCAGCACCTCCAGTGCTGCATTTGTTTGCTGAAACATCTCAATCCGTATTCCGTCAATTCCTGGAGCCTTGTTTTTCACCAATGTCTTCAGTGCATCTTGGACTTCTTCCTTCAATACCATCTGTTCTGTATCATATGCTACCTCCTGAAATAGTTGAATTTCGACCAATTCTTTTGGGTATAATGACTCCGTGGATTCTTTCCATGTTCTTTTGATGGTTCTTGCATAATTCAATATTTTCCCCATAGAATCCTTCAATATTGCAACTCATGGCTTGAATTTTTATTCAATTCTTTGAGCTTGAGAAATGCCAAGTATATTCTGACCTGTTGGTTTTCTAACTCCAGGTCTTTGCACATTTCATTATGCTACTTTACTTTGTGTGCTCTAGCCGCACTTTGAAATCTTCCCATGTAGTTTCCAGGTTTTTTCTCAAAGAAAAAACAGAGATTAAAGACTCCAGGACATGGGCTTCATTCCCTTTAGTGTCTTAGGGCCATGAATAAAAAAAATTCTTCTCTTCTTGTACAAATGTGAGAGAAGTTAGAGAGCTGGGATGGAGGGAGGTAAAAAGGTAACTGCATTTTGTGTTTTGAGAATATTTCTACACTGCTTTCCCAACTCTTCCTTTTTTCCCGCTTGTGTCTGACCTTCTTCATATGTTCACTTTCTCTTCTCCATCTCCGTCTCCTAATCTTTTACTTCTTTAAACCCAATCTACTGGAGCCATTGGAGACAAGGAGGGAGGTGTTTAAGTTCTTCTTCCTACTCAAAGCCTTTGTAAGATTTTAGGAATATGTTCCAGTCCATGGATTCCCATTTAAAAGTAACAACTTGCTTCAAGATGAGAAAGTAGAAAGTTAGGACTCCCGCTACGGCAGAAAGTCTGATTCATAGTTGCTTGGTGTTTGCTGCTTTCTGGTGTCTTTCCCAAACAAATCTCTGAGGAGTGTTCCTATGCTGTGGTGACACAATTTGTTTCACAGATAACAAAGTTGGAAATGACCTCTGTATCAGCCTCATGATTCTTCCTTGGGAATAAAGAGACAAT